ATGTAAATTCCTTTACATCATCCCAAAACCTAAAACAGCCTTTCTGCAAAGGTTTTGCCATGATAATCTATGCTATTTAAAACCATATTATTAGAGTGATACTTCTTAAAATGAAGCACGTACTCCATTCACAAGGATACTCTACGTTGTTTCAGAGCAACTAAAATTTGATTGCTTTCTAATTTAAATCTTCTTTAGTTAATTTTTGGAAATATTCAAAGGGTATTATCATGGAATGGGGTGTCAGCAATTCCAATGTTGATTTAAAATGGAACTATAGCTTTAGTCCCAAACCAATGTTTTACAACAGTATTTGACTACAACCTAACCATATCAATAGAATGCAATTCCACTGTAACATTTGACGTTCTTAAGTTAATTGCTGTGGCAAAGTGGACATCCCCACTAGCCACAGCTAGCCCCCACACCTGCCTCTGTGCATACTGCCCGCCATGCCTTGTTGGAATAATAATATGCTGTTAAATAAGGAGGGAGGCTGCCCATTAGTGCACCCCCATATTTGGGGGTGTCCGTGGCTCTGTACCTCCCCTACACTGTGGCCCAAGCGTTGCAGATGGCATCGAGATGTTACAGTGCCCCCAGCCTACAGCTGGAGCATGCTTATGCCACACCGTCAGGCCTCAGTCTCATTCCGCCCGCCTCTCACTCAGGCCTCACTCACTCCACCCTCTCTCACAAGGTCTCTTTCTTGTGTTGACAACTTATGCCATCTTGCACCTCTTGGAGCGGGCACCCTTTGGCCATAGGCTTTGCTAGTCCATTCCTTGGGTGGCAGATGTACCGTCTATTGGGCCTCCCCTGGGACCCTCACCGGGGTAGTGGACAGCCAATTACCCGACCAAGTCTAAGCATACTCAGGCCCTTTCCGGGGTGACATGAAGTGTGTATATGTACTGGGCCCTTGGCCCTCTGGTTCTTCGCCCCCTCTACTCAGGGCTCCACACTGCCCCCTCTCTCGGGCCTCCACACTGCCCCCTTTACTCAGGGTCTTGGGGCTTCCCTCCTCGGGTGGGCTCAGGTGTCCATATCCGTGCCTGGCCCCCTCTAACTCTGTTGTCACCTGACCCACCCAAGGTGGAAGCTGGGGTTAAAGCACCCCAACCCGCCTTTCACTGGGGTGGTAACTGGCCTGGCATTTCCTGGGGGCTCCCACGCCACTGAGAGTCCCACCAGGCCACCCACTCCCGGCAGGGTGCAGTTTTAGGTCATGCCCAGGACAAGGAGCCTCTTGACCATCCCCCACAGCTCCTGCCCTTGCCTCCAGATGATACCAGCAGCCTTGCAGCCAGGCAATGTTGTTGCCTGGCCTTCCTGCAGCAAAATGCCCTGTTTATGTGGGCAGCACTGAATCCAAAATGGCTCCCCTCATCAGGTACTTTCCAGCTGCTGGCTTCAGGCCCTTAAAATGGCAGGCACAAACAGTGCCCTGCCACAATTGCAGGAAGAAAAAAGGCAGTTGCAGTGGATGGAGGCAGTACTATATTATTACTGTGCATCATCCACTCAACAGCAATCAAGGATTAGGTACAGGAACATGAAGTAAGGGACCTAAAGCATTCTTTGCATTTATTTAAAAAAAAGGTTATATAAACACATTTCATTTACAAATAAAAATGAATATGTTATACTAAACCCACTTTGTCATAAAGAACATACTGGGCATGTCTACACGTGCAATTATGCCATCTTAAATTTACTGCACAGTAAGTGGGAATAGGCCAGTGTCTACACATGCAAGTGATGTGGTACTAAATTTAGACCCAGGTCACAGCAGCCTGTTATGTGCCCCTGTGGTCCCCGGGAGGAGCTCCAGGCTCTGGCCACATGGCTACCAGCACCTGGGACTAACTTTAGTTCTAAGTAGAAGCTAGACCCAGCTGCCAGCACTTGGGACTAACTTTAGTCCCAAATTGAAGCCAGGAGAGGCAGGCAGGCAGCCAGGAGCCTTGGGGCTGAACTCAAGCTTGTCCCTTAGTAGCTTGGCAGATCCAGCAGGGAGGCCCCCTAGGTTACTGTGCAGTAATGCATCTACATGTGCATGATGCAGGTATCAAATTTACACTCAAGTTAGCATAAGTCACCATATTTACTGCACAGTACGGGCATGCACATGTAATTTGGGTTACTGTGCAGTAATGCATCTACATGTGCATGATGCAGGTATCAAATTTACACTCAAGTTAGCATAAGTCACCATATTTACTGCACAGTACGGGCATGCACATGTAATTTGGGTTACTGTGCAGTAAATGCGCACATGTAGGCATGCCCACTGAGAGTTAGGTCCTTGGTCAGCCATCTAATGTAGCCCTCTGTCAATGATGCAACAAATTATATTTTAAAATAAAACCACACTGTATTATTCAACATAGAATTCTGAAATATTAGCCTGAAACATATCATGCATAAACACAACTGCATTTGAAAATAAAAGTTAATTAAATTCATACAGAGATTACATATTCAGTCTATTACTTTTCTGACAAAGCAATTCTATGGTTATACAGAAACCACAAAGATTCTGCTCAGTTTCAAGTAGGGCTGGAAGGGACCTCATGAGGTCATCTAGTCCAGCTTCCTGCTCAAAGTTTAGTATCTCTGAGGAAGCAGTCAATGTGATAAGGGGAGCATATTCAAATGGCTATCATACAAGAAATGGCCTTCCATTCTTTCACCATTACACACTGAACAGGTGTTATGAATTCTTCTGTTCAGGTTTTTCCTTCAATATGTGTACATCATGCATGGCTAATGTAAGTTCTCATCCAGTCCCTGTTTTTAGTTATATTATCCTCCCCGACTTAAAAAAGGTGAAGTCCTCTTATATCCTTCAGAACAATTCCTTTTTAAAAACACTGGGTGACCGGGCATGGCATTTAAATTGGAAGAGAGCCACACCTATGTTTTATTAAATGGGCCACAAACAAGGATTCAGAAAATTAAAAACAAATAGAACAACCCGCCCCTCTTCCTCTCCCACACACATGTGCATGCACGCACATACACACATACACACTTAAGTAGACCTGGGGAGTATAGAGTAGCAAGCATTCTTTACTAAACTGGGAAAGGTCAATCCACAATATATCTTCTGAAATAAGCGCAAACTTCTTATACAGCAGTGGGAGCCAAACTTTTTCGAACGGGTGCCACAAATCAGTCCCCCTAACTGACTGCTACTTCAGTCCCCTTTCCCTGCCTAACGTGTTGCTCTGCTTTCTGCTCCTAGCCCAGTGCTCCCTGCTCAACCTGCTACTTTGCTTTCTGCTTCTTGAACAATTTGCCACTGTGCTCCCTGCTCTCTCCCTGATCTGCAGTGTGCCACCCACAGAGGCTTCTCATGCCACTTGTGGCACCTATGCCACAGGTTGGCCATCCCTGCTATACAGGAACTTTGAATTTACTGAAATGGTCTAAGAAAAATGTGTATAATCCCAATGCCGTAAGAGGGGTGTTTATGCCTAAAAGCTTGCAAAGAAACTTTGTTCCAACTATTTTGTTGAGCTAATAAAAGATATCACATCTACCCAAAGAACCTATCTACACTGCACATTTAGCCCTGGTGATGAACATTCATGTTTGAATTAGTCATGAATTGAAGGACTGCAGCCAGAATACATGAATTCAAATGATTCTTTGCAAACATTGTGGGTTTGTACTACATCATAGTGAAGAAGACTACTCTCATGCCCCCTACTTGAGCTGTAGCTGCTCCTTTTCTTGCCACCAACTGCTGTTGATTCCCCTGGCCAGCAGCAATCAGCAGTGTGGGAAGGAGCAGTAGTG